ATATGGAACAAATATATTTATAGGATGATAGAAATAGACAGAAAGTATGTATGTATGTATATATATATATATATATATGTATATACACGCATGCACAAGAAATAAATAAATACAAGAGTGCACAGATGGCCAAACTGAGAGAATAACGTTGTTGTTGTTAGACACTCGGAGAATTTACACGTTAGAGAAAAGTTGTAAGATCAGTAGAGTAAAGGGCCTTCGCTGAGGGTTACATTGTGGTTTAAGGATAACTTTACTAACTTGAAACGCTCAAATCCTAAGTTCGATTCCTGTGATGAACAGAGTGGAAGCGGCCCATTCCGTAACTTTGTACTCTACTCAAAAAACAAGTACAACAACCTTTGCAGTGCAGGCGAGGTCATACATGCGTATAATTCGTTGTATAGGCGACAAGTATCCATATGTTTTTGATGTACATAATTTTCTGATAGAATTATGTTGCGAATAGATGAGTTGTGTGGATCTTAGGAGCAAACAACTGGTTTTTATGTGTCTTGTTAAATAATGATGTAATCCATTTTTAAAAATTAGTTTCGTTAATATGGTTGATTATAATGTTTAAGATAATTTTGAATATTATCGTTATTTAACATTGTTAATAATGTTTGTGCTTATTAAGATTATTATCCACTATTAGCTTAGTATGTTTATTCAGAACTAACCAAAATATTTTTAGCTGGTCGGACCTCGTGAGATATTAGTGGGATTATGGCCGATAATGTTGTTAGTAGCAAGGGTATTCAAAATATTTTTAAAGATTTTTATTTCTAATGTTTAATGATTTATGACATCATGTGTTTCTTGTCAGTTTGTAACATGAAATTTATATCATTAACTTATAAGTCATTTCTTTAATTATCATCTATATGTAGTTAGCTTACTTTTGATCAAAAACTATATTAATGGTGAGAACATTACTATAAACAATCAGGAAATCATAATGATAGAACATGTTTACATCTAAGTATTTTCTTAGTTCTTCACGTGGTTTGCAGGTGAATTTACGAGAATAATTCCCCATGTTTGCAGGGTTCGTGATTAAACATGGTCGTATCTTCTTTATTCAGTATGACATATTTTTATGAACTCGTTGAACTATTAACACCACCCACTGTAAGTATGCTCTACATAGAATTGGACGTATTTCTGTAACGATGTTTGTTTGTTATGAATTTCGCGCAAAGCTACACGAGGGCTGTCTGCGCCAACCGTCCCTAATTTAGCAGTATAAGACTAGAGGGAAGGCAGCTAGTCATCGCCACCCACCGCCAACTCTTGGGCTACTCTTTTACCAACGAATAGTGGAATTGACCGTCACATTATAACGCCCCAACGGCTGAAAGGGCGAGCATGTTTGGTATGATGGGGATTCGAACCCGCGACCCGCAGATTGCGAGTCGAACGCCCTAACCACCTGGCCATGTCGGGCCTTTCTGTAACGAAGTAAATTAAGCTCAGTATAATGCAGAAAATAAATAACCGGTTGTACTACACTGCAGTTTATGATTTTGTTTATAATTGACCATAACCGTGTTTTGGTTCCTCGAGCAGACAAGATGTACGGTCTTCAAGTCGCACTGTTATGTTCGTCTTGTGAGTAATTTGTACAATAAGCTAATACTCGTTATACAGGTATACATTATTTATACCACATACATTTATTTTAGCTCAGATTAACTACGTCGTTTGTATATATATATTATAACTTATGTTCAAAATTTATGTAAACTATTAATTATTATTCGAAAATTGGAATAGGCTTACATATGGTTGGAAGGGAAGCAACACCGCCTAGCGCTGCTGATTTAAAATCACCTTCAGTTTAGCTGGAACAGACGTACATGAGGTTTGAAGAGAAGCGGCACCGCCGAGTTCAGCTATTCTATAAACACCTTCAGTTTAGCTGGAACAGACTTACATGAGGTTTAAAGAGAAACGGCACCGCCGAGTTCTGCTATTTTATGAACACTTTCAGTTTAGCTGGAACAGGCTTACTTGTGATTTGTAGAAAAGAGGCACCGCCTAGTGCTGCTGTTTTTAAAATCGCCATCAGTTTAGCTAGAATAAGCTTACACGAGGTTTGAAGAGAAGTAGCACCGCCGAGTTCTGCTTATTTAAAATTACCTTCAGTGTAGCAGTCACCAAACCCTCGAATCCTTAGTTGATGCTAAATCTGAGCTCTATTAATGACCACAAAATCATCACTTGTGATAACAACGATACATTTCGTGCAAACACTTGTCGAGTTCTCAGTTTGCTAAGTGTGTTCTTGTATACAAGGACGTAACCGCTTAGTGATGGAGCCTACATATTCCACCACACAGCAAGGAGACATGAATTTATAGATGTCAAACGGCCACGTATTCTTAGGAATGACAACATTAAAATGAAATATTTTCAGTTATTATTTTTCACAAAGGTCTAAATCAAATAGCGTGAAACGTACAGGATAAACAAATAAATACAGGATGAAAGAGTAGTAAAATATACGTTGTTCAGAGTTAGGAGAGGTGTCTAAGAAAATATCTGTTACACTTTTCTCCGTCTGGTGTCAGGGGCGACATTTGGGGAAAACAGGGGCAGGCGTCCCATCTAAGCTCGTAAGGGGACCCCAAATGGCGGTTTGGGAAACAATTTTAGTGAAGCAGGATTAACACACGTACGCAAATTACGCCGTAGGGTAATCGCCAGAGAGAGCGTCATCAAAACTCCTTTATGTGAAATCGAAAAAAAAAACACACAACTAATCTAATAAATCTAACTTTATTATTTATTATGTATGAAATTTTTGTTTATTTTATAGAGGCCCATTTAGAAATTATCAGAAAACTATCACCTTTGTTTAAAGAACAAAGCTGTTACAGAAACGCTTTTCAGAGAAAACGAATTCACTTGAACCATATGTACATGAATATATATAAACATCATAAGTCACATGATCAGGAGATTCGTTTATAAAACGTTTCAGTAGCTCATGCGGAATTCATACAGTAGGTTTTTCCGAGTAAAGAAATATTTTTTATATTTTAACAATAGGAGACTAATATTACGTAATTCCTCCAGAAACTGGAATTCTAGGAGCTGTTACTGAAATTATTCGTACATATACGTAGTTATCCGGCTTCAAAATAACTGGAAAAAATGAGAAAATAGATAATTATATTTAGCATACACCTATCGATGATCATGACGTATTTTCTCCTAGAATTATAGTCGTTATCACTGAGAACATTCATACAAATGTAATTTTTTATCTACAAAACAAAACTTTAAAAACAGAGAATAAATTATTAAAAACAATCATTTTTGGATATAATTAGATAACCAAAATCATTTTCGCACTTTTCATTATATGATTTTTGTTTAGCCGATTCTTTTATAATAGCTCACGTTTTCACACGTTTACAGAGTGTTGGAATGAGCCACCAGAGAGCGTTATAAACAAGTGACGGTGAGGAAGCTGCCATGACTGCTATGGTAACGGCAATGGAAAGACATGTACAACAAACCAACGAACGTCTTCAGTGTATTAAAGAGGTAAGAAAGAAGCTGAAATAAAGAAAATACCACCAAATGATGGTCACTTACAAATTTTGTTCATTATTTCAAAATTTATCAGCCTAACGCAGAATAAAAGAAACTAAACTCGTAGTTTTTAAAAATCACAAAACATATTTTTGAATATACGAAAAGGCATAAACTTATCTATGTTTTCACAACATAGTTTCGTATTTTTTGGCTTATTGTGAACACAAAATCATTCGAAAAAATTAAAACATTTCGTTTCAGTGAGCAAGAAATAATCTTAATTTATCTAAAGTTAATATTTTTATACCTATGAATATTTGTAGCCCAAAAAAGTGTACAAATATATATATATATATGGAATTTAAATAAAAATTCGAGACTGAAAAATTGAATAAAATTCCGCTCTCGTGTCTTCAATAACGAAACAGAAAAGTATATTTTCTTCTCATATGTTATATAGTCTTTCTTTGGGTCATGAATCATATAGATTTATCTTTACTTATCATTACAGAGTCCACAATTGTTTTCTCACATATATGAAATCTACTAAAACGAAAAGCAAAATTTTCTTGAGTTCCGTAATGAGTTAACTAAAGAGCATTTTAATGCCTTTATTTACATATTGATTCGTCTTAGATTAATTGTTGTAACAATACACAAATCATAGGAGCAACAAACGTATGTTTGAATAGTATGATTTCTCTTCCCATTTATTTTTCTGTAGTGTTCTCCTGATTTATTTCAAAGAGAAAATTTATAGCGTACATTAAATAATCACGTGACACAACTAGTTACGTGTTGCCGAGTTTTTTATGGGCAAAGAGAAGACGCGTGATAGTGTCAACTCCGAGTATGCATATTTATTTATATACATGTGTGTGTGTAGAAGCGTGTGTATGTGTGTGAAAACTAGTGGGTACAATATGGTTTGGATAACCGCCTTTCTGATATCAGTAGAAGATACAGAAGTGACTGCAACATCAGTATGTTAAAGTCTTTGCTTAATTTCTTGGTAAATACAGCACTAAGTTCGAGAGTGGTGGATGTTTTCATATTAGTAGCCTATTTTCGCTGCAAATAATCGCGGTGTCGATTAATACGCAACGAGGAGGAGTACTCTTTAATTGAACCTGCCAGCAATATTGATTTCCTTTTTCACCATGCAAATGTAGATTGTATAATACTTGTCGACTGTAGCCTGAGCTTTTCGTATGCAGCATGCCGTTCGCAATATACATCCGTCCACTGCTTGCAGTTTAAACCAGTTAAACCAAGCAGATGGAGAACAAACATTATGAAGATTAATAGGGCCGCAGTGCTAAAGGCTCGGCATCCCCCATTGTGTTACCACAGGGATCTAACCACAGTGCCTCAAATGAACGCTATATGACCACTGAGACTTGTAGAAAAAAAAAAGAACGATGACACGTGCTGTTACTAGTTCAATTTCGAGTTGAACCATTCCATCTGCCACTCTGTTTTTGCACTCTTACGTATCACCTAGGTAACATTTCTCAGGAGAAACCAGTTCCAAGTCAGACATTGTCTATTCGTTAACAGAATCCAAAAGTTTTGTTCATTTAATTTCAGGACTATGGACTTTTTGACTAGAAGAAGATCGATATTTTTGCCGGTTAAAGCTCACGTAGCCCTATTTTTGTTTCATTTTTTGAGAGAAAATGATAAGTAAAGGATTAGGAAGCGTTGTAAGTAAACGGTATTCTAAGCGTCTGCTCGAGTGTGATTGTGAATACACACTCGCGACTTTATAACTACCCTTATAAATAAAGGTTTATGAAAAGGATGAATTTTCTTAAACATTAATTACCAACAATACTACCGCACTTGCTTCAAGTTAACTTAAATTAAACATTCCCGTTCAAGTCTTCTTGCATTTATATATATACGTGTACGTGACAAGATTTTTTTTTCTTCTTCTAACGCAACTTCTTCTTTTGAAACTATTTGTTGATTGGGAATTGTAAGGTGCAACTCAAATTCGCAATTTTTTTTTTATGAAATAGTTGTTAGTAGTTGTTTTAACAAATTTCACTCTAACTATATATGTTTTCCTTGTTCAACTGGGGAGTGGCATCATGTTCAGTTGCGAAAGGAAAAAAAAATAGTATCAAAAAGAGTCTGATCGATAGAATAAGCGATTAGGTCGTGCCCTGCTTCTTTATGAACTGTACAGTGAATTTTTTTCCAGTATCTAAACATGGAGATGACTGCTGCAAAACCCTTTCATATGAGATTTAATTAAATGACCTAGGAACCTGTTAGTTTGCGTATTCCGAAAGAGCATGATATCCTTGAAACCCGGAACCTGTTAGCTTGCGTATTCCGAAAGAGCATGATATCCTTGAAATCAGGAATATGTTAGCTTGCGTATTCCGAAAGAGCATGATATCCTTGAAACCCGGAACCTGTTAGCTTGCGTATTCCGAAAGAGCATGATATCCTTGAAATCAGGAATATGTTAGCTTGCGTATTCCGAAAGAGCATGATATCCTTGAAACCCGGAACCTGTTAGCTTGCGTATTCCGAAAGAGCATGATCTCCTTGAAATCAGGAATCTGTTAGCTTGCGTATTCCGAAAGAGCATGATATCCTTGATATCAGAACACGCATTTAAGAAATGTATCACTTATTGTCCAAACAATGTTGTCTATTCCCAAATCTATATAACGTAATATATCATGAAGAATTTCACGGTAACGCTATGATAGATAAAAGTCTTTCAGGTCTTGCTGAAATAAAAGCACATAAAATACATAATACTTTTCAGTTATAAAAGTTGTCTATTCCCAAATCTATATAACGTAATATATCATGAAGAATTTCACGGTAACGCTATGATAGATAAAAGTCTTTCAGGTCTTGCTGAAATAAAAGCACATAAAATACATAATACTTTTCAGTTATAAAAGAAATGAATAATAATATAGAATATTCACTCTTTTTAATTTTTTTTTCTTTTACCAAGCCTATTGTATAATCAATACGGCGAGACGCTCAGATAATGATAACAAGAAGAAAATAAGCAACGAAGAGCTTGAAATAAACAGAAATGTTGATATTTTTACACTGATCATTTAAAGGAGTGTCGTAAGTACGTGTCCCCCGGTGGGACAGCGGTAAGTTTCAGGACTGACAGCGATAAAATCCGGGGTTCGATTCCCCGCGGCGGGCGCGGCGCAATTAGTCCGTTGTGCACCTTTGCGCTAGAAAAACAACCAACAACGACGCAAATTTGCCCTCAGTTTCTTTTTGAATTAGTGCAAGTACGCCCAACATTTTTTGGTATATAAATGTAAATGTACGTTTGTTATGTCTCTTGGCTTAGTATAAAGTTTATATACATTATTATATTCCTATTATATTAGTGCTAAAGTTTGCATGTCAATTGGACTGTTGTCATTACGCCTTCCATATCTGTTGAATTACTGTAAATCCTTATGCCAAGTTTGTTGTATTAATGCTGTTTTCCATGTACATCCTACATAGCTGTAGGATTGCTGTAAATACATCCACTAGATCTGTTGGATTAGTGTAAATATGTCCACCACGTCTTTTAAATTAGTGTAAGTACATCCAATTAGTCCATTGGCTTAAAATGTTCAATAAAGGTTTTGACAAAGGCCGTTTAAGAGTTTTCTAGAAATACAAAAATCCTAACGTACAAATAGTATATCATTTTTCACTTGTTATTCAGCTATACTTAGTGGTTTTCTGAAATATAACAACTCTGTCATAAACTCTGTAAGTCATAAAACTAGAGTATTTGTGTAAGACCATTAAATTTGATCGTTGATGGGAAAGTCGTTACTGCTTAATCAATACGTTACTCCCTTTCATTCCTAGGATAGTTTAACGTAAAGGCTTAAGCTTGTGACTGACATTTTGAATATGATGTCGAGAACTAAATGGTGCTTAAAACTGTCAAGAATCTTGTTAAGCAACGATTGAAAGTAGTGTTTAATACACAATTTAGTAAGAAATAGGTGAAAGTAGTTTTATAAAACATCTGAAACACTTTTGATGTATTTTTCATATTCACTAAACAGTTACAAAAACATTAGAATATTCATCAGGTTATTTCTCTAAATCTCTTAACTTAAAATATCTTTATATAATATTTTATTACGATAGAGTTGTATATTATAATCAGGCAAAGTGCTCTTAATTTTTTTGTTAAGTTGGAGCATGTAACGCATTAAATCTACAGAAGGTTAATAGCACTTAATAGGAATGATTTACATATGCTAATACAATGGCGTTCGCCGTAGATTCGAGCGGTGGCACCATGGGCGATATGTTTACCACCTATATATGTGGTTCACGGCGAATTCCCAACCATTCGATAGTGGAATGTCAGTAAGAACAGACTGATAACTGGAGAATAATGTATATCGCAGAAAGGGCATTTATGCAGCGTGATCAATAAACAATGCAGAGCCAAAGGACACAACATTATAAAGAAGAAAGCCATCAGTATTCTCAATGGAAAACGTCGTATAGCAGAACGTTTAAGACAGCATCGAGCTCCGAAGACCACACCTCTAGCTAATAAATCCGCAAAGTGAAGGCCAAGGTAAAGAGAGAGAGAACCCTCTGACCCCAAACTATTGGAATGAGATTGGCATTTCTCCCAGTATCGTCAACAAGATAATTGAAGTGAAAAAGGCTGACAAGTCACACCTCGAAATTATCGTGGCTGCTTCCATAATACAGTTGGCCGAAGAAACTGAAATCAGAGCAATCCCTTTACATCACATCACATATCCATTGAGGCTCTTGATTTAGTTTTGTGCTTTTGGCCTACTTAAACTTAAATATACCCTTGGAAGACGACGTCTACTTACAATAAAGGGTCTGTGAAAAGTTTGTCTAAGATTAATATCGGCGTCCTTCACAAAAGCGTGCTACAATGAAAATTGCATTGTCAGGCAGTGGTGTGTAATAGTGGTCGTCAGATTGAATAAAATTGACAACAGCATAGAGAAAGT